GGTCTCGATGCATGACATATCATGCAAGTTATCAGCTGGTTGAGTCCCGCCTAAGCCACTGCGGATCTACATATAGATCACCCCAGAATCACCCCTGCGCTCTTCCCAGCTCGGCAAGAGTGTACCATTGGCTGCCGCTGCCGAAAATCGCTCAATCCGGTCTCCTGTTTTGGAATCTGCGATCCATTTCTGTTGCATCTCTCACTTGTAACGGGTGAGTATTTCGGGCTTCTCTCTAGAGGGGTTGACGATCAAATTTGGGGATTATGTTGGTGAAGTTTCTGCATAGACAGTCTTCAGAGGTGCCAATATGTTAGCTAATTTATAAACTTTCCCACCCGGCAAGAACGGTACAAGTGTGAACTATTTAGAAAGAAAGATAGTCCGGGACTCAGTCTGAAGAGACCATAGTCTGGAAAGACTCAGTAGTCTGAACAGGCTCGGTAGACTGGAAAGACTCAGTAGTCTGAACAGACTCGGTAGACGGAAAGACTCAGTAATCTGGAGAGACTCGGCATTCTGAAAAGGCTCTGCAGTCCAGAGAGACTCAGTAGTCTGGAAAGACCGAGCAGTCCAAAGAGACACGGCAGCCTGAACAGACTCGAAAGTCTCAAGGGACCGATAGCCCGGAAAGACTCAGTAGGGACTGCCAAGTCTCTCCAGACTATAGGTCTGTTCAGACTGCCGAGTCTTTCCAGTCTAGCGAGTCTGTTCAGACTACTGAATCTTTCCAGACTCCTGAGTCTCTCCAGACTCCTGAGTCTTTCCAGACTATGGGTCTTTTCAGACCGCCAAGCCTGTTTAGACTGCCGAGTCTCTCCAGATCTTTGGGCCTCTTTGGACTGCTGAGTCTGTTGAGACTATTGAGTCTTCAAATTGCTCAGCCTCTTCAGACGGCCGAGTTTTCTAGACTAGTAAGTCTATTTGAACTGCAGTCTCTTCAGACTGAGTCCTGGACTATCTTTCTTTCTAAAGAGCTCAGACTTGTACCGTTCTTGCCAGGTGGGAAAGTTTATAAATTAGCTAATATTTTGGCTCCTCTGAAGACTGTCTATGCAGAAACTTCACCAACATAATCCCCAAATTTGATCGTCAACCCCTCTAGAGAGAAGCCCGAAATACTCACCCGTTACAAGTGAGAGATGCAACAGAAGCGGATCGCAGATTCCAAAACAGGAGACCAGATTGAGCGATTTTCGGCAGCGACAGCCAATGAGAC